CTCATTTTTTTTTTAAAAAATTAAAACACCTACTTTCAAAACCCAAACTATATATATCTTTTATATTTAAATTAAATTTCAAAAATTATTTTTTATATTTCATATTTTCGAATCTATATCTATCGAAAAAGTTGACCGACACTTGCGTTCTCAAAAAGCCGCAGTTGAAAAAGCTGTAGCTGCGTTTTCCTACCAGACCTGACTACTTGTGGTGACTACTAGAAAGCTGTGGTCTGACTTTAAAAAAAAAAAAATTGCAATAGCCACCGCAGTTTTTTAAACAACAACTTTTTCTTCAGCTGCTGCATTTGCCCCCAAACAAACCCTTAAAACAAACCCTTGATATACAAGCTGTTGTTGAGCTTGATATCAAGTTTTTAAAAAAGTACTTATTGAACAATAAAATTCATTCTTGAACATAAATTAACAAGTTGAACTATGTACAGACTTAATTTATTAAGCCATAGATTTTCTAAAAAATGTTTGAATTAGTTTAATGGTAACTTGAATGATCTTGAATAAATATTAGTTGAGCCAAGTTCAAGCTATTTATTAACTGCATTGATTCACTTATAGCCTTATTGTTTTGTGAAGTTTAAAAAATAAAAAAAGTTACCAGAAGGTTCATATCTGTTCATTAAGTGCATTTGTTTACTTACATGTTTACTTGCCTGACACTCTTTGACAAAATTATTCTTAGAATTTGAGAATTGAGTGATATTAACCAAATTCTATTTAAATAATATAATAGTTGTTATCGAGCTTAGTTTCAAGTGTTTAACAATTTACTTTTTGAACAATAAAAATTATTCATGAACATAAATAAATGAGTTAAACTTTGTTCAACTTCGTCCATTTAGCTGTCAATTTAAAAAAGAGTTCGAACTTGATTAATTATTGGCTTGAATGATCTTGAGAAAATATTAATGGAGTCATGTTTAAGCTAATTATTGCCCTGTTATTTGTGAAGTTTAAAAATTAATATGAAGTTATTTAAATGCACATACCTAGCTACTTATATGATATTTTTATCTTACCTCTACCTCTAATAATATTTATGTTTTACATGCATAAGATCTGAAAAAGCTGATACATTGACATAAAATTAGTCATCAAATAGATAATTAAGCCGTCTTAAAATTAGTATTTTATTGAGTTCTAAATGATATGCTTGCTTAACAACAATCGAGGATGTTTGTGAATATAAATGAACAAGTAAATTATTGTTCAAGCTTGTTCATTTATATGAGGATTTTTTTAATGTGTTCGAACTTGTTCAATTATGTAAAGGAGCCTTATAGAAATAAGCACGATGTTGTTCATTCATTGGCACATCTTTGCTTACAATCTTACTTGTTTGACATACCCGAACAAAACTATTCTTAGGCCGTTTTCATTTTCTTGATCCCTAATTGACATATCCTTCTTGTCTCTTCACCCCTAGCTGGCATACGCATAAACATGCCCGATTTTTTGAGTGAGGTTTTTGAACAAATTTGATATGTTGAATTGCAGTTGATAAACCCGGATGTTTGTGTGAAAATAGTGGAGAACACTCCTGATGATCCGCGCCAGAGGAAACCCGACATCACCAAGGCCAAGAATTTACTCGGCTGGGAGCCTAAGGTCGTTCTTAGAGATGGTTTGCCCCTCATGGAAGAAGACTTCAGGCAGAGGCTAGATGTTCCCAACAAAAACAACTTCAAATAGCTCTGAATTTTATTATTATTCCTTTTTTGTATTAAAGATTGATTGCGAGCTGCCTATATATTTTTAATACCACGAATTGAATTCTCACTTTTCTTAATTGTAATAAAAGATTGTGAGTTTTACCTGTTGTATACACTGAATATAAAGTTTTCATTTCCTTAATCCATCAAAGCATAATATGTTTTTTTTAATAATAAGCATTGTTTTGAATTTTGATTGCTATTGTTTGCTTGTTTTGGAGGTATATGTGCCTCTTTAGAATAGATTAATATTTTAAGAATTTAAGTATGAAGTTGTTAAGAAAATTAAATTTTATTTCATTTCTATTCTATCTCAATTGAATTTCCCTAATTCTCTTCTTTTCTCTTTGGTTTAAATCATTATATTATAAGAGCCACTCGAATTTGAGTGGCATTTTTATTTTATTTTGTTATAAATAACAACTCAAAATTTGGTTTAAATCCTTACAATTAAGCCTAGTTCAAACTCGAATTAGATAAAGTTATTTAAGCTCCAGTTTAAATTAACAATCATCTAGAATTGTGTTGAGATGCTTTCACTGCTATTTACAGCAGCTCTGCAACTAGACGGATTAGCATTCAGGTGCACGCACGCACGCCTCAAGCTCGTTAGTTCGTCGTTTAGCTATAACAGTCTCGATCGATAGCGATACGCATTATAATTTCTGTCCAGGTGTTTTTTTTTTTGTTTTATTTTATTCTCTCCAAAGTTTTAAGAAATAAAAAAAAAAGTAGGTATTAATTTGATTTAAAATGTAATAGAAACATTTTATTCATGAGAAAACTAAAAATCAAATAAATAAATGTATAATAGTAATAATATGTATTTTAATTTGAAATGTGAAGTGTATGATTTTGATGAAGTATGACACAAAGAGCGATATAATTTGATTCATTAGAACTCTTTTTTAATTGATATTAAATATAAATTTATTTGAATCATGCCACATTAATTTTTGTTTATTCGCATAAAAGGCCAAACCGAACCCCGCGACCCCCACACCCGCTTCAGATACCGCAAAGATTCCTGCCCAACTTCTCTCTCTCTCTAAACATCGTCCGACACTCTCTTTCCCCCTCATACCATCTCATCTCCAACGATGCCGGTGCATTCCGGCATAGAATCCCCCCTCCTCCGTCACCGTGAGCTGCCGGAGCAGCCGCCATCAATCCCCATCTTCCGGCCGAGTATCTGGATCTTATCCATCGCTACTCTTCTTCTCTGTAAGCAATCAACCTCCCTCCCCTCTCAATGATTATTACTCACTCCCTCCCTCTCAGTTTCTCCTCTTCTCTTCCAGTTTTAGGGCAAGCTCTATTCTTCAATTCCAGCCACGGCGATCGGGGAATACACCTGCAAAGCACCGGCGGATCAGATATTGTAGAATCTGACATCGGTGTCGTGGCGACGGACGATTTGCGGTGCTCAAGGATTGGGGTAGAGGCCCTAAAGGCCGGCGGGCACGCGGTGGATGCTGCTGTGGCTGCAGCGCTGTGCCTTGGATTCGTGCATCCAATGTCTAGTGGGATCGGCGGCGGGGCCGGCCGGCTGGATCGTCGACGGCGGATTCGTTTGATTCTCGGGAAACAGCTCCGATGGCGGCATCTGAAGTAAGATTCATGCCAGCTAATAATTAAGGCCTCTCTTCCTTTCTTCCTCTGTGATTATCTGCACTTTGCCCTATGAAGTGTGGGCCTGAATGCGAGGTTAATTTTGACCGAGCTCAATAATTAATTACAAGAAAATCTAAAGTACTACATAAAATCAGCCTGCTAGTATTGTGTGTGTGATAATTTTGTAAAATCAGGAAAACTGTAAAGCGCAATTAAAAATTCTCCGGCTGCTAGGATCCTATATCGTGCGGGGATATTCTACGGCATATAACTTGCGTGGATTGTAGTGATTGATAGCTTAGATTCCCGTGCGAGGAACAATTGTCATTTTTTTAATTAGATTATTGGAGGCTTTGGCTTGAATTTTCCACCATGTGTAATTAGTTTTTAAAATATTCAAATATCTGAAGGGGCTTAATTGTCATATAATACTGACTTGATAAATAAAATATTTAGTTGTTTTTATCATCTTGGAGGAAACGTATGGAACAACATGGTAGTATTCAGAAGTAAAATAGATGCGACTATACTTTTAAGCATTTTGCATCCCTATTTCATATTATTAAATTTATTAAAAATTAATTCGAAATCTAAGAATTTAAATTAATCGGCAAATGTAATTATAAGTAGCTTATTTGATTTAAGAATTTAAATATTGGAGAATTAAAATTTTGCTTTAATCTGATTTTGTCTTGTTCATTTATATTTTGAATAGTTTTCAATGGATTGCCGTTGTTTGATCTGTTATTATTGCTTTAAACTAATGAATTATTAAATAATTCATATAATCTGTTGTGGCATTCAAAAGGGCTATTGTTCCATCAGTGAATACCACTAAGTAATAGAAATTAGTTATTCTATGTATATTACGTTTATTATTTATTATTATTATTATTATTTTATTTTTATAAAATTTCAAACTCACAGCAAATCAAATAATTTATTTTGCAAAAAATGTTTGTTGAATTTAGATTTGTCATTGAATAACACGCAAGAAATAAAGTATGGACAAAGAGAAAAAAAATGAGCAAATCAAAGAAAGGAGCTAAATGACAGTAAATCAAAAGGTTTAGGGCCAGGCAGTCCCTAGGTTTGTTGGAATCAAGAGAAATAGATCCTGGATGGCTGGTTCTCACGAAATGACTTATTAGGCATATCTTGCTTTAGACCTTTAGATATGAGAATCCCCTGAATCTCAATAATCTTATCCCGCATATGAAGTGTGGCCTCGCTGAAGTCAACTTTCTATGAAGTTGTTCAGGTGTTCAACTCCAATGGCTCAGCTTTGTTCCCCTGACCTTGCTCTTTCAGCCTCGATTATTAGACCTTGATAATTCGGCCTCAATGACTTGATCATCCTGCCTCAATGATTTGGTTTTGGTCGCTTGGTTACGTTATTGTTCAGGTGTTCAACTCCAATGGCTCGGCTTTTTTCCCCTGACCTTGCTCTTTCAGCCTCGATTATTCGACCTTGATAATTCGGCCTCAATGATTTGGTTTTGGTCGCTTGGTTACGTTCTCCTTCTCTCGATCGCTTAGGTATCTTATCTTTCACAACCATGCACGGTCGTTCGTGATCTTGTGTTAGGTTCTGCCAATCTCATATTGGAACGGCAGATTGGTCACTTTTTATTAGTACAATATCAAACATAAGACAAATCATATTTAAATCGAATCTTATCTTCGACAATGTACCAAAGTGCCGACTTTGTTCTCTGCAGCCGATCTGTGTATACTTGTATGATGACTTAGTCAATAAATGTTGGTAGAAGACGTTATTTTTCCTTTCCTTCATTAATTTTACTTCAAAGTAGGCTCAAGTAATGTAAAACGTATTTTTAAATAAAAATATTCAAACTTTATCAAATCTCCCCTTTTAACCTATTCAATAAATTTCATTTCATTGCAAATTCCTTCTCAAATGTTCCTAAAATAAACTAATGAATAATGAAAATTTAACGTAGTCTGTTAACTTACTCAGCTTCACACCTCCATCTGCCATGAAACAGAACATGTATGAGAACAACCCCGCAGCAAAGAGGAAAGGTGCACTCTCCATGGGGATTCCAGGAGAGCTCGCAGGCCTCCATGCCGCATGGTTGAGGTACGGGAAGCTCCCATGGAAGGATCTCTTTCGCCCAGCAATAGAGCTTGCAAGGTATGGCATCCCTCTGCCACTTTATCTTGCTCAAATTATCAAAAAGTCCGAGAAAGACATCATGGCCGATCCGGGGCTGCGACAAGTTTTCGCTCCCAATGGCAAACTACTACAGATTAACGATACTTATTCAAACCCCAAGCTCGCTGCTTCCTTGGAGATAGTCTCCATTAATGGCCCAAAAGCTTTCTACAACGGTACCGTCGGAGAGAACTTCATCCATGATTTGCGGAATGCCGGTGGAATCGCAACCATGGAGGATCTTCGGAGTTATAAGGTCGAAGTGAAGGAAGCTGTCGCTGCAGATGTTATGGGTTACAGAGTCTTCGGCATGCCTCCTCCTTCTAGTGGAACAGTTGGGCTGTCTCTGGTGAGTATTTCTATTATCAAATATTCACAATACTTCTTTTGGACATTTACATACAAAGCACACAATTCTTATGCATTTACATTTCTCACGCCTAAACTTTCTAGTTTACAGACATAACAGCCAAATGTTTAATATCACATCAAAAGTAGCACTATCACCACTTCTTAAAACTGAATTAAATATTTTCATGCATAAGTTTAAAACAACTAAGTGCTGTGTATCTAAATATGGAAGTTTGGATATGAGGTATGTAATTACATTAGAATTGTAGGCTAGATCCCCATAGTTCTTACTTTGATCATAAAGTTGCATATATTCATCTTTGTTCATGAAATCCTTAAATTTTGAGTAAGAGGCTTACTATGTGTTAATTAGGTTCTAAACATTTTAGGTGGCTACAAGTCTCTGGATGAAGTTAAAGGCTTGCTCGGGCTACACCGCCTCGTAGAAGCATTCAAACACATGTTTGCCATCCGAATGAACCTTGGAGATCCTGATTTTGTTAACGTGACCGGCCATGTTTCCACCATGCTTTCACCTTCATTTGCAGAAAAAATTAGGCAGAAAATATTTGATAACACTACCTTTGATCCAAGTTACTATCTTCCGAAGTAAGTTCTCTGCCATTTTCTTGTCTTCCATGCCATTTAATATGAAGAAAGGATCTTATAAAAATAATATGCTTCTCAGATGGAGTCAGTTAAGAGACCATGGAACAAGCCATTTATGTGTTGTTGATGCGGAGCGAAATGCAATATCCATGACCACCACAGTAAACAGCTATTTCGGGGCAGGGGTGCTCTCTCCGTTGACTGGTATTGTTGTCAATAATGAGATGGATGATTTTTCCATCCCAACTGATGTTTCTTCAGATCATCTTCCACCAGCTCCGGCGAACTTCATCCAGCCGCAGAAGAAGCCTCTTTCTTCCATGACTCCTCTCATCATCCTTAAGGTACATCAGTCTTCTTCCCCGCTTTACTGTAAGCTCATTGAAATTTATCAGTGTAAGAATATAAAAAGCAAGCATATGATAAATAGTTAGTTAATTTATTAATTAATGATAATAATAATAAATAATTATTGAGTCATTTAGAAAAATTAAAGATTAATACTTGTTTTAACTAAGTTCATTAATATTTTATATGTATTAGCTATGATAAACATAGAATGAATAATAAACACAAATAATCATAAATCAATATTCATTTGTTTAATTTCTTTAATTAAGATTAGTTAGGATTTGAATAAGATCATTAAAGTTACATTAATATTAAGTTATGATAGTTAATAAATCACTTAATCACTTATAGTAATAAATGGTTAACTATAGTTAGGAAGGCTTTAAATTGCATAATTTTGATATACTTAAATGAGCTTAAAATTATAATATTTATTAAGGATAACTCGTGTTTAATTTTAAGTTACAGCACCATAGAATGTTATGCAAAAGGGCTTAAAGCAGAAATACAGATAAACAATTTTCTCCAACTTCTACCAACTCACAATAATTTATTTTTTTACTAACCAAACGACTTACACACCCTTTTAGTTGAGCTTAGTTTATTGTGCATTTGTCTAAGATAATTTGAACAATTATGATTGACCAATGGTTATCGCACTCATAAAATCAATACAATTTTAACAACCCAGTGGTGGAATGTATGTATGATGAGGCAATTTATTGTCCCATCTTTTCACCAAGCTCTATCTTAATTACTTGAATTCTAATATAGAATTTTTTTCAATAAATTTACAGAACAAGCAGCTGGCTGGAGTTGTTGGTGCCAGTGGTGGAATGTATATTATTCCAGCAGTTGTTCAAGTTTTCCTCAACCATTTTATTCTCGGTTTTGATCCTCTGGAAGCAGTTCAAAGACCAAGAGTATACCATAAGGTCGGTATGTTGTATTTATGTTTTTTTTTTTTCAATTAGGGGTAATTTGATGTTTTGGTTTTATTTACCATAAAAGGGACTTAAGATTCATGAGAGAGTGATAGAAAGAAGTGTAGAAGTTGTAATCCCAAGCCGTTTTTTCTTTCTCCCCATCTTGTGCTAGGAGAATCTCTCTTCCCATGGACGTAGGCGAATCAACTTAACTCCAAATCATGTAAATATTTCGTGTTTGATTGTTGTTGTGTGAATTTATTCGTTTCCACATTGTTTTCACAGAACAATTAGCATTAGAGCTTTGGGTTCGTGATCGGAACGTGGTTCGGCTTCGACAACAACAAATCCGACATGTGATGCCAATGGTTTTTGCAATGATTGGTTTGAAGTGCTTTGTCGGCATATTTGAAGGTTCCGAAGGCAGGAAATCTGACATGCAGGCAGAGACGCGACTCAAGAAGGAGCCACAAGTGGACATCTAGTTAGCTCTAATCCAGCGGTGCAAACAACAGGAGCGGTTCCAACGACAACAGGCAACGGTTCCAGATAGTCCTGCTGTAGGCTTCGCGTAGAGCAAATAAAAAAAAGAGGTGGCGGCAGGGTTCGCGTGGAACATAGGAAAAAAAAGAAAATTTTTAAAAAAGGAATAAAAAAATTCTGGATAGACAAAAAGGAAAGAAAAATTTATTCTTTATTCAGAAATAAAAGAAAAAAAGAAAAAAAGGAAAAAATATTTTTTTCAGGTGAAATTTTTATTGTTTGTTTTTTTCAAGTAGTCAAAATACGATAAAAGAATATTTCATAGAATATTTTATTCTGTTAGAGGAATATTTTTTTAGAAGGCGATTCAAATAGTGGTAGCAGCAATGAACGATAATACGGTATCAAGTTTTTCAACTTCTACTATGGTAGTGGAAAAGTTTATTCATCACGTGGTTGCGCATTCCATCAAAATCGATGTTAAGAAATTCGACGATCAAGATAACTTTGGCATGTGCCAATGCGAGGAGATGAATGCGCTGTATTTTTTGAGTATGGAGGAAGATCTAGATCGCGAGGAGCGTCCTGATGAGATGTCAGAAAGAAATTGGTTAAAAATAAACCGGAGTGCTTATGGCTTGATCAGAAATTTCTTGGCTCAGGAGATCAAATATGGATGATGATAGAGACTTTTGCAAAAAAAAAATGTTGATGTTACTGGAGAACAAATATCTCACAAAGGGTATGGAGAATAGTCTCCATATGAAGCGCTAACTCTATAGATTTCAAATGAGATAAATGGTTACTATTAACGAGCACTTGAAAGACTTCATAAAACAGATCTGTTACATTTGGACGCGGAGATTGAAGATTAAGACAAGAAGTTTCTTCTGTTGAATTCATTCCCACATGAGTACAAAAACTTTACCATGATAATCATTCATATGAACGAGTTTTTGAATTATGGAGAATTGACTACTACAATGTTAATCCAGGAGTTTCGTAGAAAGGACAGGGAGTATGCAAAGATCGAGTCGGCTGAGGCACTTACATTTCTACGTGACAAATCTAAGAAGAAGAGAAAATCAACAAAGAAAGGTGCAGCGACAATACTTCTCAATAACTGGGCAAGTTTTTGGGCACGGTCTTGAGAAATATCAATGTATTGTCTGTTTAAAGATTGGTCATTAGAAGAAGGATTATCCGAAGCCGAAGGAGAAGAGAACGCATTTGAGGTGAAAGCCAATATCAATGTAGAAAGATATGAAGAGACGGATTCAGATATATCATTATTTGTAGTTTCTCACTGTTTGTTTATGAATGATTCATGTTGGATTCTGGACACAGGTGCTACCTATCACATTTATTCTTATTGATGATGGTCATATACGTACAAGGAGCTAGATCACAATACGGTGATTATAGATAACTATCAAGCTTGTCGTATTATTGGTGTAGAAAGTATCTTTATCAGAATATATATGGTACTTAGAAGGAGTTGACCAATGTTAAACAGGTTTCACAAATTAGGAAGAATTTGTTGTTAGTTGGGGCTTTAGAGTCCAAGGGCTACAAGGTAGTTATTGAGGTAGTCATTGAGGTAAGCGTTCTGAGAACATGTCGTCAAGCACTGGTTTTTATGAAGGGAGTTTGTCATCAGAACATTTATTATCTTATGGGTAGTACAGTGACTGGAACGACTGCTATTGTTGATGATTCTTCTGACGTACTTACATTGTAGCATATGCGGCTAGCTCATGCTGGGGAGATTTTATTTCAGGCTTTGTTAAAACAAGGATTGATAAAATGAGTTAGCACTTGCAAGCTTGATTTTTGTGAACATTGTGTATTTGAAAAGAACGCAAGGGTATCTTTTGGTATCGCCATCCATATTACAAAATGTATTGTATAGTATGTTTAAACAGTTGTTTGGGATCCGACAAAGACAATATCATTCAGAGGGCGGAAATACTTTATTCTTTTATTAATAATTACTCTTGGTATGTTTGGGTATACACCATGAAACACAAAATGAGGTGCTAGAGATTTTTATAACTTGGAAAAAACTAGATTCTGACTCAGATTAATAAAAAAATCCGATGTATCAGATCAAACAAGGGGGAAAATAAACTTCGAATGCATTCTTGAAAGAATGTCAGAGTGCTAAGATAGAGCACCACTTCATTATTTGAAAGATACCACAACAAAACAGGGTAGCATAAGAGAATGAATCATATTTTGGCAGAGAAAGTTCGTTGTATGTTATCCAATGTTAGCTTGGATTGAGTCTATTGGGCATAAACCATAGACTATGCCTATTATTTGGTGAAATGTTTGCCTCCTACAACTATTGGGAAGAAGATCCCAAAGGAGATGTGGTCAAGACATCCTGCTAGAGATTATGAGCACATGTGAATGTTTGGGCGACCAACTTACTACAATGTGTAGAATGGTAAACTGGAACAAGAAGCAAAGAAGACAATTTTCATTGGCTTCAAATGTGGAGTCAAGGGATTGAAGCTTTTTAATTAGTCAGAAATGAATGTTGTCATAACATAAATATTATATTCTCAATCAACTTTATTGATGATTACTCTAGGAATGTTTGGGTGTACACCATGAAGCACAAAAGCGAGGTGCAAGAGATTTTCATAACTTAGAAAAAATAGATTGAGACTCAGACTGGTAAACAATATCTGTGTATCGGATCAGACAATGGGGGCGAATACACTTTGAATGTGCTCTTGTAAGAGTGTCAGAGAGTTGGGTTAGAACGTCATTTCACTATTTGAGAGACACCACAACAAGACGGGGTGGCGGAGGGGTGGAACCAAATTTTGGTGGAGAAAGTTCGGTGTATGTTATCCAATGATTGGTTGGATAGAGTTTATTGGGCAGAAGCCATAGACTATGTTTGTCACTTGGTGAGTCATTTATCTTTTATAGCTATTAGGAAGAAAACCCCAAAGGAGATGTGGTCAGGACATCTTGCTAGAGATTATGAGCACATAAGAGTGTTTGGGTGTCCAACGTACTGCAATGTGCATAATGATAAACTAGAATCACGGGCAAAGAAGATAATTTTCATTGACTTCAGGCGTGGATTCAGGGGCTTGAAGCTGCATGATCAGTTGGAAAGGAATGTTGTCATTAGCAGGGATATTACATTTAACAAGGTAAGCTTGTTGAAATATCAGGACTCAAAGCAGGTGGAGAGTGTTCTATTGGGATCAAATATGCAACAGTAGTTGGAGTTTGATGAAACTTTGATTATTTCACAATGTTCGTCCACTCCGACTCAGATACCTGATTTAGCTACAGCTCAAGAGGTATTTATTGATAGTGTTTAGGAGAAGATGGAAGAGGATATTGAGGATGAGATTTCTGCTCAAGAATCTATTAACAGGAGCAGGAACAGACGTCAGAATGTCTCAGAATCAGTTTGGTTGAGGAATCATATTGCATTTGTAGTTTCAGTCGTTGAGACAGAAATTTATTGTCACTACAAAGAAACGGTGGAAAATCCATACTATTATCTTTGGATAGCGGCAATAGACGAAGAGGTGGAGTCTTTCAGAAGAATATTACTTGGATGTCGGGTGAGGCTTCCTCCTGGAAGGAAAGCCGTGAGGTACAAATGAGTGTATGCAAATAAGGATAGGTCTAATGGAGATGATATGTAGTGCAAGACAAAATTAGTGGTAAAAGATTTTGCACAACGAAAAGGGATTGACTTTGACAAGTTTCTCCCTAGTTGTCAAGAATCCCTTAATCAGTGTTCTAATAGCACTTATAGCATAGTACGGTCTGATCTTTGAATAACTCGTTGTGAAGACTACATTTTTATACGGAGCATCAAAAGTCTTGGTTTGCAACCTAAACAAGTCTTTATATGAGTTGAAGCACTCACCGCGATAGTGGCATAAAAAATTTGATTAGTTCATGAGGGCATAGGAGTATACGAGGAGCCGATATGATCATTGTGCATACTTTAAGAAGTTGGCAAACAACAAGTTTGTTTACTTGCTTCTATATGTAGATGATATGTTGATTATATTTGCTAATCAGATTGAGTTTGATAAGATGAAGAATCAACTGTCCAAACATTTCAAATGAAGGAGTTCGGTGAAGCTCGTAGAATTCTTGGCATGGAGATTCTCAAAGGCATGTCAGCGGGAAATGTTTGACTTTCACAAGGAGCTTATGTTCAGAGGGTATTGAATAAATTTGGGGTTGATGACTCGATTAAGGCGGTTAGTCTACCAATTACATCTCACTTTTAGTTAAATTTAGATCAGTGTTCTAAAGATGATCAAAAAGAAAAGATATACGATCAGTTATTTATGTTAATGAAGTGGGCAGTTTGATGAATGTCATGATTTGTACTAGATCAGGCATTACACAAGAAGTTTGTGTTGTGAGCAGGTTCATGCATGATCAAGGAAGGAAACACTTACTGATTGTGAAGAGTATTTTGAGGTATCTGAAGTGTACAATTGATGTTGGTTCGGTGTTTGAGAGACAATGACCTATTACAGATTTGTGTGTAGACTACACCGACTCAGACTATACAAGTGTTATAAATAGACAAATATCTATGATTGATTATTTATTCACATTTGCAGGAGGACCAGTCAATTGGAGGTTGTTTTTTCAGCTTAATGTTGCTTTGTCCGCTACGGTGTAGTACATAACGGTTACGGAGATGATGAAGGAATTGATATTGATGCAAGGCTTATTGAATGCCTTGTGAGTTGTTCAAGAGTCTATGTCGACGTTTTGTGACATTCAGAGTACAATATTTTTTGTCATAAATTCAATTAATCATGCTCACATCTAACACAATAATGGAAGGTACTGCTTTATTTAGGATTTAATTGATGACGACAATATTCTGTAAAATTAAATAGATACAAAGAAGAATCCAACTGACATGCTCACGAAGTACTACCAGTCAAAAAGTTCACATACTGCAAATGTTTGGTGAACATCTGAGACCAGGACCGATTGCTCACTCGGGCATTTTGAAGAACTACGCGAGGCTTGAGCCCTTTGGGAGTGTGGGTATATGCAGACAACCATCTTGGTGCAGCCGATTCGGAGTTTGAAGCTCATTTGGTCATCTCTTATCTAGAAGTAAGAGATGAGGTTGAGGCTTAGAATATTGTTTTTTTTTTCTTTTTTTTTTCTTTTTATCTGGTAATTTAGTCTTTTGGTTTTATTTAATTGTACGTCTAATCCTCTATAAAAGGGATTTAAGGTTCATGATAGTGACGGCGAGAAGTGGAGTTGTAAACCCAAGCCATTTTTTCTTTCTCACCACTCGGTGCTCGTGGAATCTCTCTCCCCGCGGACGAAGACAAATCAACTTACCGCCGAAACACGTAAATATTTTGTATTTGATTGTTATTGTATGAATTTCTCCATTTCGTTATTATTTTTGCATAACATTGTATACCTACATAGCACCCAATACTTATGTATATACTTATCCAACACCTATATTTTGCTTTGTACATTTCAGCAAAACAAATCTTTCATATCATATCAAAAATATCATTTTTTTTTTAACTTATAAAAAGTGAAATACACCTTTCTAATATGTAAAAATTGAAGTTTAGGTGTCAGATATATAAATATATAGGAACTGAGTGGAATCTTCGTAAATCTTCCTTTAAATATTTTTCTTAAGCATAAATGGGCCGCTAAATTCATCTAAACATACAGCTCATCCCAAACGTTGTGCTGTATGAGAACTGGACGGCCATTGATGATGAACAGATACAAGTCTCCCTCGAAGCGCAGACATTCTTGAAGCAAAGAGGTCACCAACTCCGCAACATCTCCGGGGGCTCGGTCGCCCAATTTGTCGTCCATAACCTTCAAAATCCAGTTCCGGTTGTCGAAGAAAGAAAAGATGGGATCTTTTATGGTAAGCTCACTGCTGTCAGTGATCCTAGAAAAGATGGAGGACCTGCAGGGATTTGAGACTCCCATTTCTCCACTGTCTGGTGTCCCAGCATTCACTCGCAATGAAGAAGGTATGCTTCATGCATTAAAGATGTTTTGTGCAAATATATACATCTAATGTGTGTGTCTGTGTGATATTTGTAATCCAAAAATCGGTGTTAGTGTAACATACTTGTGCCTGTTTCAGTGTAAATTCTGTATTAAAGAAACTTAGACTATTGTGATTGATGAACAGTTGGGCATCTGAAGGTAATGTAAAATCTACTTGTTTAATGTTTTAAGATGTGAATAAATTGGTTGGAAATGAAGAATTGGATTCTCAATAACAATATGACTATTGTCTTTTATTTTGAGATTTTATATTCTGTATTTACATGTCTATCTTATCACATGAAAAATATCACCTTTATTAACTTTAACATGTGAAACATAAGGTCAATTAGTATAAAAATAAAAATTAAAATTTAGATGTTAGATGTATAAATATATAAGAATTTTGTTGTAGCCATGTAAAGTTTCTTTTATAGGGCCTTTACATGCATACCACCCAATTCCTATGTATTTATATATCTAATGCCTAAACTTTGCTGTTTACAATTACACCACCTGAATTTTGCATATCACATAAAAAATATCACCATTTTGACATTCACAAAGTGAAATACGCATTTTCATACATATATAAGATGATATGTATGTAACAAATTAAGTTTATGTGTTGGATAAATAAATACATAAGAATTGAGTGGTATGCATGTATATCGCTCTAATTTATAGTGCTGGAGTCTTGGAGCACTTCTCTCCATTGTTTTTTTTTTTTCTTTTCAATTATACTATTATTTTTTTCCTTAAACTTATGTGCTGACATTTAATATGGTTTCATTAGGTTATTTATTTATTTATTTATTTATTCTCGGACTTAAACTTCATGTTTTGATCTTACGAGAGTTTTTGGATGTGGTTTTCTTTTTTTTTGCATAATTAATGTTTGACTCTAAACTCTAAATAAGAAATCGTGGGACAAATCTTAATACATAAACAAATGATGATAAATGTCGGTTCAATAAACAAAATTTGAATAGTGCTCTACTTATTAAATATATTGATGCGTGCTGAAAAATTCACGGCAATAGAGTAATAGATCATCGTCTTGGCATTGCACGAGGATTCAACACATATTCAGATGAAAGAAAAACAACCAGTGATGACACTAAATGTTTTTAAGTGGAAAACCCGTAAAAGGAAAAAACCACGAGGTCTGACCCAGTTATAAAAATTCACTATATGTTGACTTTTCAATTATACTATTATTTTTTTCCTTAAACTTATGTGCTGACATTTAATATGGTTTCATTAGGTTATTTATTTATTTATTTATTCTCGAACTTAAACTTCATGTTTTGATCTTACGAGAGTTTTTGGATGTGGTTTTCTTTTTTTTTGCATAATTAATGTTTGACTCTAAACTCTAAATAAGAAATCGTGGGACAAATCTTAATACATAAACAAATGATGATAAATGTCGGTTCAATAAACAAAATTTGAATAGTGCTCTACTTATTAAATATATTGATGCGTGCTGAAAAATTCACGGCAATAGAGTAATAGATCATCGTCTTGGCATTGCACGAGGATTCAACACATATTCAGATGAAAGAAAAACAACCAGTGATGACACTAAATGTTTTTAAGTGGAAAACCCGTAAAAGGAAAAAACCACGAGGTCTGACCCAGTTATAAAAATTCACTATATGTTGATATTACAGAGGTCTCTTGTCCCACAGATGGGAAATGATTACTAGATTTTTAGATTACGTCGTCTAACGGTGTCCGGTCAGTGGTGGTCGACGGCAGTTGATGACGGTAGGCGGTGATCGACGATGACTGACAGAGGTTGACGGAGGTCGACGGTGGTCAATGCGGTCAATGACGGTTGGTGGTGGTTACGATAACAGAGATGATGTTGGACTTGAGCTCCTTCTCAATGTCTCAACTTCTCTCTCAAGCCTCCTCCCCTCATGTGAGGGGTGGGGCTCTACTTATAGTCACAGATGGGAAATGGTTACTAGATTTTCAGATTACGTCGTCTGACGGTGTCCGGTCAGTGGTGGTCGACGACAGTTGATGACGGTAGGCGGTGATCGACGATGACTGACAGAGGTCGACGGAGGTCGACGGGGGGCAATGTGGGCAATGACGATTGGGGGGGGGTATGATTGTTATCTTTCAAATGTATCCGAAAATATTCTAAGAATGATTTAATCGCGTGATCTGAGCTTGATTTAACTCGGATTGGACTAACCTTGATATCATCCGTCTCATCAAGTCGGTCAGTTTGACTATAAGTTTGTTGAAATTGGAGCTCTGGATGACTTTTAATTGAAGTTTGAATGTTTCTAACTCAAAAGTTTGCATCGAGATTTGCGTCACGAGATACGTGATGGATGATGAAATTTCATATGATAAAAAATTGTTGATGCGTATCCTATATATATTTTTTCTAAAATTAGAAAATTTGATTTTATTATATCACTAATGTGGATTTTTATTTTTGGTGAAGTTTTGAGAAGGAGCTCATAAGACGCGGAATTATGGGGAGAAGAACTAAAAAAAAAAATTTAATTGGGAGCATAAACCCCCCTAGTTGGGCGTTTGTTGTAAAAATGCAAGAAACACCCCCAGCATTTCTCCAATAAACGCCCCACAAGGGTGTGTTTCCTTCCCTCAAATCATGCTTAATTTCCTCTTGGTTTTTGATTCTTGCTTCCCCGGTCCTCTTTTCTTCATCTTCGTCTGTCAATCATCTTCTTTGAACTTTGGCTAGTCGTTGCTCTGCTGCTTTTCTTTCAACGTTCTTCTTATCTTTTTCTAATTATTTCTTTATTTTTTTATAATACAATTTAATTTATGTAGTTGTATTATGTTTTATTTTTTTAATTATTATTTAATATTAATTATAATTTGTTAAATATTGCTCTAATTTCTTTTAAGATTAAAAATGTTATGTCGATATGTTACCGAAATTTTTTCTCAAATCTTCAACAGCTAATTTTTTAAATTTTTTTGGAATCATATCAGTATTTTTCTTAATTTATTTATGATATGTCAAAATGTTGTTCGTCGCCTTCCTAAATTATCGACGATATGTTGAGATGTTGTCCCTTATTTTCCTAAATTACCCTCGACATATCGAAATGTTGACCATATTTTTTTCTTAATTCAATTATGCTATGAAATCATATAATATAATTAGATTAAAATTAATAATTAATTTATTATTAATATAATTAATATTTTCATTTTAATAATTAAAAAAATAAATAGAACAACTTAAACATTAGATTGATTTGTATATAGTATGGAAACTCGATGGCGCATGGCTATTGGTCCGAAAAAGATTGAAATAGACCTCTACTGTTTGTGTAGCAACGATATGTACTGATCTTATACAATTATTTTTAACAATTTTAAAATTTTTAATAAAATCACTTATTTACTCAGCATATATCAATTCATTAAAAAAATTTTATCATTATTTTTAATTTACTTCACTCTCATATGCTTCTATCTTTTATTTTCATGTTCTCATAAGATGTTGTTTGGTAATTTGTGTGACAATATTTTTCACGTGTCGTTGGGATCTTGTCTTATCCTTATTCGCTAGCAGGTACGAGAATGTTTTAATTTATCAATTCTTATAGTTACAAATGATTTTTTTTTGTTGTACATCTCATTTTATTTCACATATATCTCTATCAGAAACTATTATATCATAATAATCAACGCTTTGATTAAATAAGTACTTTTAGGAACCTTTCCCCTTAGTATAATAAAACAAATTAGAATAAATTATTTAGGGATATATGTGCATAGAAGATAGTGCATCTGAAGCTACTTAGAATTTTGTCAAATGTGTCTAAACTGCCTTATGAAAGCTTGAGATGTAAGTCGTTTTTATACCCGCTTCCTCACCTGGAAGTTATTGTAGCTACGGATGTATTTTTTCATTACATATATCATGATAGTCAACGCTTTCCCCTTCGCATGAAAACACAGATTAGAATAAATTATTGAGGGATATATGTGAATGGAATGCAGGGCATTTGAGGCTACATAGAAGTTTGTCAAAAAAACCTAAATTGCCTAAGAAGATGTAAGTGGTTTTGGTACCCCCATCCTCATATGAAAGTTCAGATAGCCACAGATACATTTTTTCAGTGCATATATCATGTTAGTCAATGATTTCTTGAGTGTTCTCTAGGACTTATCTCCTTAGCATGACACTACAAAATAGAACAAAGTATTTAGGGATATATGTGAATGGAGTACAATGGATTTGAAGCTATGTAGAACTTTGTTAAAAAAAACCTAAACTGCCTAAGGAGAGCTACAAATGTAAGTGGTCTTTGTACCCCCTCATCATGTGGAAGTTCTTGTAGCTACATATTTGGAACTATGACGACTAATGCATCAAAATGTTTTAACTGGGTATTGTGGTGTGCTCGAGGACTCTCAATCCAAAGACAACTTGGATTAGAAATACAATGGACAAAAATAGAACAAGAGCACAAGAGTGTGCCGGTTATGCCGGTTGTGTAAAAATATGTGGCATAATAGAGCAACATGTCCCTTCAATTCAAGTACACGCATGTGAGATTAAGATATTGTAATTAAACTCCATATACCCATACCGTGACTTTAATTCATGTTTTTCCTCCTCACATTTAACTTTTCATCTATGAGCATTCTAATTGTTGTGTAGAGATGTTCAAGGCATCAAATCTAGGGGGCCACCGTTGCCGTGGTAGACATATTGTTCAGGCAGAAAACGACACATTACGGGCAGACACATCACCAAGTATTACATCGATAGGTGAAGCTCATTGAGAAGCAAACCCAAAGTAGGTCATATGAAGTACATGTTTTTTTAATAAATTGAATTAGTTCATTATAACTATTAAAATAATTGATTTTATGTAGGGAATTATTCTTCATGCGACCAGCCATTTTCTAGTGGCACAAGAGTGGAAAGTGCAGTGCCCACGTTTTATTCATTCACTGCAAGTTGTTGTTGTAGACTGTGTCAGACGCTTTCAGTAAGTTAGATTAGACCAACAACTATGAACAATGTTGGTCGAGTGGCGGTGCCCCTTAACCAACACATTTCATTTACCTGTTGGTAAGATAAAATGAAGTACATATTAACATATTACTATGTTAATTATCATTCTCTAACCTTACAAAAAATTTATTTTTCTCAGGTGTGATGAATATCATTTTGCAAAATATTCTTTAGTATTTGGACTAACGGAAAAACCATGATAGGGTCGAATGTTGCTGGTCCACATTTGCGTTGGCCAAGTTGGTCAGCATGTTTTGATGATTTGTTGGGGGACCACCCCATAGATGATGTTTTCTTTTATCATCTTGTAGATCAAACAATAACATAACACTTGTTTATGGGACGCTTTGAAGAAAAGACAATCATATCGCTTCGTTGGCTCTACTGGCAATATTATAGGGAGCCTTACAACGATTACCTCTTCTAGAATTTTTATGGCTTGTCAGGGCCCATATGTTGTTTATATTAGGGTGTTTTCTTCTTCTAAACATGTCTGAATCATATGTATATTTAGAATACTTAACATTAATGGAAAGTTTAAAGGAGTTTGGAAGATATTCTTTGGGAGGCGTAGTGCTTGCACGACTATATAGAGAATTGAATTTGTCAACTAAGCACACTCGTCATAATACTATTTGGTGTTTGCACTTGCTACAAACATAGTATTGGGAGCACTTACATGTGGCAGACCCACCCTTCATGTTCCGACCCCTCAAGATTTATCAGGCAAATCCCTTGCATTCGGGTACCAAATTAACTATATTTATATATAAACATGCAACATTTTAAGTCTGATTCATCTTGTTTACTTAAATAACATGCAGATCGAATGAAGAGTGGCTACGTACATGGTTCTCTGGAAATGTAAGTATGTACAAAAATGAACTCAATGGACTCGGTCAGATTCAGGTTCAACACTAAACCCCTAAATTCAATCCCACCTTCTTCTCATTTTTTTTATCTTAAATATAATTACTTCATATGCATGTTTATTTTTCGCTATATTTAGATTTATATATAACTTTGTTACATGACATGTTTTCAGAACATTGATATTTGGTCTGCCCGGATTCCAATAATTTGTTGGAAGCTTGTCGAGTGGCACCTTTTAGATCATGTTTTGCAGCAGTTCTCAAGCATTCAATATATATATATATCCCTACAAAACAAGGTTTTAAAAGAGTCGATGGGTGAAGTAAGGCTGAAGTTGATTGGATACACTATCACCAGAGGTATATCGAGATGTGGAACAACCATCGGGTGTATATAGTGCAATTAAACCCAACGAAAGGAGACAGAACAAGAGTTGGCCTAATATTTGAAATGGTACTCATCTTAGACATCTCTCTACCTAGTGCAGTCCACTATTCAGCTACCGAAAACATATTTCCTCTGATAGCCAAGAGAGAGAATAATGTTATGTGTTTAATATATTTAGTTGTTGCTGCTAATCACTTTTATTGTAGTACCTAATAATAAATGTAATTCTTCAAATGTACAGTTGGATTACTTTATTCGTAGTAACGATATTGTAGAGCAGTTTGGAGTGGAGCACAATGGAGGTGCTAGCTTAATGAAACAAAGATATGATGAGATATTGGAGCTCTCATGTAAAGTGGAACGATCCATCCAAATTGGATATAGCGCATTTGATCAGTAGGTGAGACACGATTTCAAGGCTGGGCCATCTCACAGAACATATGTCAGACCATCTGGTCCCTGAAAATTAATTTTTAATATTCCACATCATTCATGTTACACAATCGTGAGAAGACCAATAACAAATGTTCCAAGGAGATCTTTAGCTTCCTGAGCAATATAGATCAGATACTCCAAGGAAATCTCTCTTGAATGAGTCGCAAGAACAATAATATCCACAATCATCAGCTTACCTTTGGCATTGAACATTTTCAGGCTCCTCCAGCTATGTTTGACCCTCTGACTTTGTAGGACCCTACGAATATGTAGGACCTAATGGCTATACAGGACCCACCGACTATGCATGAACCAATGGCTATGGAGGACCACTGACTTATGAGGGCCCATCATATTTCAAATCTATGTTTTGTAATCAAGTGTGTAGTGGAACAATAAACATAATGAAACAACATCTTACCGACACACACAAGGACATTAAACCATGCACGAAAGCCCCCACTGAAGTTCAAAAGAGATGCAAGAAAGCAATATAAGAAGATGAAAAATTCAAAGCACGATGAGACAATGTCTTAAATGATATTAGAAGTAGTGCAACAAATATTGGTGAAGGCCAAAATGCTACAAATTCATCTTTAATTAACTCCTCCCAGAGGCCACTTAGAGGTGGAGGTCCAATGGATTCTTTCACCACAACTCAAGTAAGAAATTCTACTCTAAATTCTAAGTTGAAAAAAGATGAAAGAAAAGAAGCATGGTGGGCAATTGGCAAATTATGTTACTCAGAGGCATTAACGTTTTATATTGCCAATGACCCATATTACATGTATATGTATGAAGCATTTGCTATTTTAGGATCTGCTTTTACTTAGCCTACAATGCATGAATTGAGAACTTGGATACTCAAAGATGAGATTGCTACAATCAACAAGATGTTAGAAGAGCATAAAAAAGCATGGAGTAAATATGGGTGTTTGATTATATCAGACAGTTGGATAGATGGAAAAAGTTGAACTTAAATTAACTTTCCTGTGAATAGTCCAGTTGAGACTTTTTTTCTTAAATTTATGGAAGTTTCTAATGCTATCAAAAGTGATTGTTTACTATTTACTTATTTGGATGATGTGATTGGGAAAATGAGAAAAAAAATGTGGTGCAAATTATTACATATAATGGGTCAAACTATGTGTATGCGAGTAAAAAATAATGGAGAAAAGATAACACATTTATTGGACACCATGTGTAGCGTATTATATTGACATAATGTTAGAAGACCTTGGAAAGTTGAAAATTCATAAGACCAAACTAGCTAAAGTAAACAAGTTGTAAAATTCATTTATGAGCACACATGGGTTTTAGGTTTGATGAGATCATTTACAAAAGAGAGGTAACTTATTCGTCCAACCATCATACGGTTTGCTAAGGCATATTTGACCATTCAAAGCATTTACAAGCAGAAACAACCACTTCAGGCAATGTTCTCCTCATAGACTTTCAATGGGTAAAGAAGACGAAAGTTATAAAAGCTTGTGTTGTTATTATATTTGATCTACATTTTTTGGGTCATATTGCTTATTGTATCAAAAGTATTGTGCCGCTTGTAAATTTTCTAAGAGATGCTGACTCACAAGAAAGGTCAGCTATGAGTTATATACTTATATTTATGAGTTAATGGATTTGGCAAAAGGAAAAAAATGCTTATAATTGTGGGCATAATGAAAAGAAGTATGGATTTATTTGAAGGAAATTTGATTGAAGATGGAAAGTCCAACTTCATAAACCACTGCATGCAACGGGTTATTATTTAAACCCTCAATTTTGTTTTGAGGATAATTTTTCTAATAATGATAAGATAAAAGAAGGGTTAATTTCTTGTACGAAAAGAATGTTAGACTTTTAAGATCGTTTTAGAGCTGATATTTAACTAAACTTATATGATAACTTACGAGAAGACTTTGAGAGTAGAGTTGCTATGGATTCAAGAAAGTTGATATCTCTTGCTGATTTGTGAATGAGATTTAGTGAAAAAACACCCAATTTAATAAATTTTGCGATTCGAGTTCTTAGCTCCATATGCAGTTCATCAGGTTGTGAAAGAAATTGGAGGACTTTTGAATCGGTAATAATTTTTTTATTTCTTAGAAGTTAAAATTATTATTATTTGTTTTTACATCACCTCTTAAAAAATAAAGTTTTTTTTTTCTTAGATTCATACTAAGAAGGGGAACCAATTGGAGCACAAGAGGTTGAATGCTATGATACATGTAAGATATAATACTAGATTTAGAGAGAGAAATACAAGAAGAAAACAAGTCCAATCCAATATTGATAAATAACATAGATTCTGATGATGCATGAATTATTGAGAAAGAAGATTTAGTGCTTTCACAAGAACATTCTTGGATGAATGAAGACGAGCATGTCTTTGATGTTGATGTAATAAAAAATGCGCCAACGACAAATGCAAATGAAGAATCACAAAATATTGCACATGACGGTAAACAAAATTTTATAGCATATTTTTACCGAAAAAGAAAAATGAATGAAAGAACAATTAACTTTCATATTTACATTTAATTATTTTTTACATAAATATGTATTCGTAATTTCTTAATGGAAAAAATCCTAAATATTTGTGAATGTCATTTTATTAGTGTTTGTAATTTAGATAACAATGACAAGCAGAAACGAATTTTGAATACACCTGAGATTTGAAGCATGATGATGACTTTAATGAGGTGGATAATGAATGCAAAGAATATGAAAGACCTAATTGTGATTTGGATACAACTATTTGTGAGGAAGAAGAAGGTTTTTATGATGAATTTGAAGAATAAACAGCATTCAATGATTAAGATCAAATGATTGTAAATTTATTTTTTGGAGCAAACATGCTTACTTATTTTTATATGTTTCAACTTTTTTTGTTGTGGATTTTTATTAGTATATTGAAGATTCTAATCTTAAAAGACTTGTTTTGCCTGTGTTTACTTTTCTTATTATGCACAAATAGTTTATTTTTTTCATTAATATTTACATTATTTATTTATTTTTACTATGGGGCTTACACCCAACGCCTTAGGACATGTGTCTTGCCCTGTAACAATTAAAACGCCCCGCCGACATCTTCAAAACATTTATAAAAAGCACTCATGTTGGCAAATGCTTAAACTTAATGCACTATGTTTTAAATTTCTAAATTTTAATATATATCATTTTATTTATGTATAAAAGGTGTACTTCATTTTTTTTAGTCAGAATAATACAAAAAAAATTGGTTGTATAAAAATGAAATGAAATGTAAGATTTTTAACTATTAGATATGTAAATATATAGAATTTGGGTGGTTGCATGTAAATGGCCATTATAAATTTAAATCAATTACGTCGTTCCCCCTCGAGGGATCACTTTCATTGCACCAACCACTCGCTGCAACCGTGCGCTATTGGATGGTTGCATGTAAATGGCCATTATAAATTTATATCAATTACGTCGTTCCCCCTCGAGGGATCATTTTCATTGCACCAACCACTCGCTGCAACCGTGCGCTTCTCCGTACTGGCAATGAGCGGGAGAAGCTCAGTTCCACTTCGCGCTCTCTTCTGCCTCGCCCTCCTCCTGAAGGCGTCCTCGCATCCAACCTCTAAATTTAGTTCGTTCCGCTCTTATGGGCTCAGCCCTTTCCGGACGGCGGAGAGCCTCATCAGAAACCTCAACCTCGTTCCGGCGATGCCGGAAATCGATGGAGAAGAGGGCTTCGACAATGATCCATTGCAGCCCCGCCTCGTGGAGCGTAAGTTGAATTTCGACATACTGGGAGACGCCGGATCTACGGTTCCTGTGGAGCAGCTAGGGCATCACGCCGGTTACTACCGTCTGAATCGCACTCATGCTGCCAAGTAAGGATTTTGCAGCGAATCCCTTGCTTTAAAAGTCTAGTTCGTTTTGTATGTATATCTTACCTTTTTATATAATTTTCTTTGTGTGGAATCGGTCAATAGTCTTTACGATTACTAACTTCTGGAGTTAAACAGCGTCCGTAAAAAAAAAGAGAGAGGAAGATTTATGCATTTACATATCTAACACCTAAACTTTCTTTTTTATACCTACATGACACCTTCCCTATCTATATACGGCGCTGAAACAGAAGCATGGCTGTGCAACTCATGGATTTTTTCATTGGGAAGACCCTCCATCGCTTTAGTCTGCAGTTAAATTTGAAATTGAATAAAAGCTAAAACTAGATCAACAAAATTTCTTTTTGGAATGAAAGGATTGACAAGGAGAGCCAATAGAAGCAGTGGTCTAAACCATCCGAGTTTGAGCAAGCTGATGGCTTATTTATGTTTAGCTTAGTTTAGCTTATTCAAATTTCTTTTTGGTAGTGTTTCAGCTCATGTTCGGAATGACTCGTAAATAGTATGCTCATATTCGGCTTGATTCAAACTCATTGGTTTGAATTAAGCTCGTGTTCGGCTTGAATTTACTTTGTTCACCAAACCTCATAGAACTTAAAAAATATGTTAATTAAATTATTTTCTTAAATAAAAAATTAATTATTTTTACCAAACACAAACTTATTTGGATTATTAATATATGCACAGTTCACGTTTTTTTGCATTGAAAAGTTTTAATTTTTTGTTTTTAAAAGGTTTTTCTCACAATAATCTTCAGTATTTCCCGTTGTGGGACTAAACATACTGAGAAGTTGAGTGACGCTGGGCTCGGGGGAGGACCGGCGGGTCCTCAAGGGAGTGGGGCTGCCGCCCCCTCCTTTCTCTTCCCTCCTTCCCTTTCCCTCCCTTTCTTTTTCCCTTCTTTCCTTCCCATCTTTTCTTACTTTTTTTCCTAAACCCTTTCTAATTTAAATTCTTTCATAAATCCTGAGATTTGATTTTATTCTCCCTTACTATTTTAAAATTCTTTTCTAAAGTCTAAAATTTGATTTTATTATTCTTTCTTATTTAAAAAGCTTTTCCTAAAATCTAAAATCTTATTTTATTCTCCTTTTTTTTAAGTCTTTCCTAAAATAGGTCGTCTCTTTATAAATAGGAGATGATGTGCTTGGCGTTAGGGGTCTTATTTTAATATCTAAATTCAGGTTTTAGCCTTGGTATCTGTCTCTCGTTCGAGGTGGTGATTGTCTCCACGTTTCCGGGTGGTGCTCCAGCTGTAGCTCGAGCCCACTGAGATATTTATCTATCCCTCCACCCTTCCTGTTGTTGTCTACTTGTTCCACAACCCTATGAAAACCCTCGCTGCTCCATCAAGCCTCCTCCCTGCACCAAACTAGCTGCAGTCCAGCTCCGTCCTCCCTCCAAACTGCAGCCAGCCTCCTCCCAACAAGGTCGCAGCTCTTCGTACTCCTCCCAGTAGGCTGTCGTTGATGCTTCCTTGTAGGTCGCAGCCACTGCTGCCCCTTCCCAACTCTTCCAGCCCTATCAACCATCCTGGCTGCTGCCCCTCTTCCTCTTGCCGCCGCACCTCCTCCCTGCACACCATAGTCAGCTACACCCTAAATTTTAGCCATCAACAACTTCTTCACCTCCTCCCACTGTGGTTGGACACCTCTACAACAATCTGATACTGCTCTGACTTTCACCGCAATCGTTTGTCTTGCCCCACCACCCTGGAGCTCCTCCTTGTCAGGATTGTTTGTGTCTTGTTGTTGTGTCAATTTTTTTGCAAACCTTTCTGCACTTTTTGCTTTGTATGATTATTTTCTTTTATTTTGAGTCTCCATTGTATCCTCGTTCTAACTTCAACAATAGTATTTGTTGCTTTACGTGGTGGTTTGGGTAAACTCCAGTATCATTTGATATCAGAGCTAGCCTAACTCTAGTCTTATCTTAGGGTTTTCTAGCGTCTGTCATAACCCACAAAATTTCCTTCATACCATCCAATATCCTTTCCACAGTCACATATTCCTAAGCCTAAATTCTCATCACTGTTTTTTTTCAAATTAACAATCTTGACCCAATTATTTTTACTCTTTTTCACCCCCACTATAAATGTTTCCTCATGTTTCTAAACCCTAACCATGTCACCAAGGTGATATATTGCTGAGCTTACCCGGGACGAGATACGGCGAGAGATCCGCCGTCTTCAGCGGAAGCTTATGAATATTTAAGAGAAAATGTAGTTGGAGATTACCCTTGACCATGACCTGGAAGGTCGAAGGGAAGAACGAGAAAATATGAAGATGAAGTGGAAAACACAACGTTGGTTCCTACCAACTTATTACCGCTAAAAGTTACAACTCCCAGATTTTGAAGTGGAAAAATTGCAACACCAAGCGACCCCCCCTTGACTACTATCCAACGAAATCAATCTGCAAGTCTGTCACAGTCACAAAATGTGACAAGTCCCACGGATTTGGACTTGTTAAAGCAGAATGTTAAACCAGGAGAGAGATCTACTTCACCGAATAGGGCGCCATTGAAAAGTTGGGCAACGACACTATAGACACTGAAGAACAGTTCAAACGAGAATTTTCATCCAATGACGTCTTCCCCCGTGGAAATCCCTTGTTCATGGATACACCTAATGCCTTTCTTCTGTGTGATCAAAAGGAACATGCGACTTTTGATGGGATTGTGGTTTCTTCTCTCCTAGAAGATGGAGAACTTTTTGTTGAGACATATAAAGACCACGCAGACCAGAAGGTGTTGTAATTTAAAATTTCAGTGGATTGTCTTCATAATGACCAAATGATAGCATCCCAGGTGGCTACACTTCCAGCCATCGCCTCCAGTGTTCCATATGAAGAGACGACAAAACAGTGTGAAGCTCTTGTCATTGGAATGCGACAGATATTGTCAGTTCTCCAAAACTTCAGGAGTCAGATGGAAGACTTGGAAGATAATGACAATCACTCATCAAACACAAACTTTTGCAAATCCTCAATCTCGCTATGGCCCAACTTGTTGTTGACCTCATTTTGAGGTCATTACTCTTTTCCTTAGGATCCTAGGATCTAGCTCTAGGGGTTCCTATTGACTATCTTAGAAAACTAGAACTGAGACCCATTCTTTTAGAAATTCCAGCCACCTCTTATTTCTCTTGTGATGTCACACATTGATGATCTCAAAACCATCGCCCTATGGTCGAGTAGTAAAGGACTATCATGTGGAGGTTAAAGGAGAAATTCCCAATAGGATCTCAAGCCCTAGGAAAACTTCTTCAGGACTTTTTCTTCAGGACTTTATCATCATACACGCACATCAAATGCACAAAATTCATTAAGTTGCACAAAATCGGACTTAAATTGAGCTTAAAGGATGGGTAAAAATGCTAACTTCTCCGGACTGCTAACTTCTCCGGAAATGCTAACTTCTCCGGACGGCAAAATGGACAGCGTCAACGCGTCCGAGACTCCAATTTTAGCTAGGGAAGACACCCATTTTGCAATAATTTCCGACACGAGAAAATTGCACACAAATCGATGAATTCGTCAAAACCACCTCCGACGGTGAAACTGACTACGCCAGTGCGTCCAGAACGTCAGAATTACCTCAAAAAGACACCAATTTTTGTTATGTTTTGACGCACGAATAAAAAGTACGAATCGAATTTTATTTTTTAAGAATTTTAAATATTTTATATACTTATAATATTAAAATTATAATCCTAAAAACCCTACCTCTACCCGCGCACTAAAACCCCCATTTGAACCGTCCCATGGCTCGATCCCGCGACGCTCGTCCCGCTCCCCTCGCGTGCCCTAGCTCCCTTGGACGATCCATGCGACAATCTCTTCCCCCTTTCTCGACTCTTCCCCTTTTTTGAGTGGCCTCTATACTCTTCGACTCTCCAATTGCAAGGGTCGAGCTGACCGATCCTTCTCTTTCTCGAGGTTTTACCGTCTCCCTCTTTACTGTGACGATTCTATTCTCGTCGTTTGATTTGTCTACCAGTGAGGCTGGTAGGTGGTTGCCCCCCTCTCTTCTCTGCTTATAAAAAGGGTCTCTGGTGTACTGTTTTGGGTTGTTGAAAATTTCTTGAGAGAAAGGGAGGCTGTGGTTTTACTGTTTGAGGCCTTTAGGGAAAAAAACTCTGTCAAAATTCTTTCTAGACTAAATTCTCGTGCGTTAGGAGTGTGTAGCATTCGTGGATTGCTGTTTTCTGAAGCTTTTAGGAAGGGAAGCTTTGCCGAAATCCTCTCTAAGTTAGATTCCCGTGTGTTGGGAGTGTGGAGCATTCGTGGGTTACTGTTTTTTTAAGCTTCTAGGAAGAGGATTACTGTGAGAGTGGTTTTCTTAAATCTGTCTTATAATTTTGATTTAAGTCTGCATAAAAGAGGTATTCTCTTTCTTTCCTCTATTCTGCACTATTTAGGATGACATCTGAAAATACTTCTTTTCTCTTCTAAAGCATGTGGAAATAAAGTCAAGGACTGTTTTTGAGATTTAAGCATGTATACTTGCTAGAATCAGTAGAAATGAAACATAATATAGATAGTTTTCTCTTTTTCTGCTTAAAAATGCATAATGGATAAAATTTTGGAACATCCCAATGGTTGTCGTGAGATGATAGCTGCCTATTTGAAATACATGCTAAATGAAATGTTGATTTCAGATTTAATTCTTGAGTTTTTTATTATTATCACCCCTGTTCAAATACATGTTGGAAGTTGTTTCGATGCTTTGGAATGTTGGTTTTAAGAACCTACCTATGCTTTTCTGTTTCCTGTTGCCTGTCTCTGTTCGAATTATATATACTGGATGCAAATTTTGGGATTTAATGTTTTGTGGAATCTGATTCTTAGTGACTATTTTGGTCCATTTGGTGGGCTCGAATTTAGCTTTCTTTGGATTAACTATTAGCCGGAAATTCTGCCCTGCTTTTCCCATTTTTATTTTTTTTCCTTGCTTCTTGGTTCGGTTTTCTGTGCTTATGT